AAAAAAAAAAAAAACACGTTCCTGTGTTCCCCACCATTCCCTTCAGCTGCTCAGCCTCCAGGATTTAGTTCAGGTGTCCATTCCTCAAGGGAATCATTCCTGAACCAGTAAGAAAGGTTACCCTCTCAGTCTTATTGCACTATATACATATTTGTGACATAAGCTTTTTAGCATACTTGCTTATTTGGTCAAAATACTCTGTATACCAGCCTCTGTTTAGTGGTTTGTTTTGCATTGTTGGGGTTCAAACTCAGTGCCTCATGAGCTAAGCATGTGTTTTTCCAGAGCCCATGTACATCAGTATGTTAAGAGGATCCCTGGCATGTCATAGGAGCTCTTTAATTATTTAATGAATGAATTATTCTTGTGTATCACCCTAGCCTTCCCTACAGTTACAGTTACATTTTGACTGATAAAACATTTCATAAAAAGTTCTGTATGTTGGCCTCAAATCTGTAACATGGCTTAAGTCAATATATATTTCATAATTGTGTGTGTGTGTGTGTGTGTGTGTGTGTATCCATTACTGTATTAAGCCTGGAAATTCTATTTGTATTTGTTTTCTCTCATCATTTGTAAGCTGGCAGTCCTTCCTCCCTTCACAAATAAAAAGATGTGGTTAATTCATCTTTTTTTTTTTTTTTTTTTTTTTCCAGAACCAGGTATTAAACTCAGGCCCTTGTGCTTACCAAGCAAGCGTTTATTCTACTGAGCTAGCTCCCCGGCCCCTAAACAGTTACCCTGCAAGGAGTGTTTTTTTTCTTTTTCACGATACTGGGAATCAAACTCAGGACCTTGAGTATGCCAGGCAGGCACTTATGCCACTGAGCTATCTCATACCCTAATTCTTCATCTTTCATATCTCAAATTAAATTTCCTCAGACAGGCCAGAGTAGCTCCCTTTAGGACTTTTTTTTTGCAGAACCGGGGATTGAACTCAGACCGCTGCACTTGCCAGGGGAGCCATCTCCTCAGCCCTGAACCAATTTTTTTTTTTTTTTTTTTTTTTTTTTGTGGAACCTGTGATTGAACTCAGGCCCCTGTGCTTGCCAGGCAAGCGCTTATTCCACTGAGCCATCTCCCCGGCCCCCTCTCTTTAGGACTCCCCCCGCCCCCCAGGAATTGAACTCAGGCCGTTGCACTTGCCAGGCTAACGCTTATTCTACTGAGCCATCTCTCCAGCCCCTCTCTCTTTAGGACTTAATGTGTTACTTACACTTTATCTATGCAGTCCTCATTAGACCATTAGCAAAGCTTACTACTCTATCCTTCAGTATTTGTCATATAATCTTAACATGGAATAAATGAGTTAAAGTAACATATTGGTCAGCTACAGCTAGAAAAAAAGGAATATGTTAACTTCACTAAAGCCATTTTTTTGGGGAGAATCTTCAGCATTGAAATGGACAGTTCAGTTAGTTTGTTGAATAAATGAATCAACTGCTTGTTGGCAACGAGTTTTACTTGGAAGTTATTTCAGCCTTACACCCTTGTGTAATCATAGCCTCATTCTGAGTAAAATGTTCTGTGGAGATCTTACTAAAATTTTTATATGACAGATATAGATGACATAGCCACAAAGATTTCAAACTAAGATTATATTTTATATGCTGTACCATAAGTAGTATTTTGGGTCAGATGCTTTCTTATGTTCAAAAGCATACTGATGCTCTTTTAAGACCCAGTGATTATCAAAAAGCATTATTACTGAATTTTAAAATGGTATTTTAAAAATACCTTTACAAGATAATTTTTGTTCTCACAAGACAAGAAGCCATTTATATTTAGTAAATGGGCCTGGATCTTAATGTAGGGAGTTCTGCAAGACAAGTTACTGCCTGGCATAATTTGTCGATTATGTCCCTGCTAGGAATCATGAAAGGAGACTGAGGAAATTTCAGAAAAGAGTTTTTAGGATCCCAAGGAGAAAGATAGCCATTAAACCCCTGAACTAAGTAGGAATGATTTTTCCATTTGAGTGTGAGTATGGCAAGTTTTTAAAACATCTCTTAACAGCTATAATTAGTCAAGCACTAGTTGAGTAGCTAAAGGTCACATAACTGGTTTTAATGCACTCCAGAGAAAACTGCACTTTGACCCCCAATTCTCTGATAGCCAACCGCAATCACAAACTGTTGAGACATCCAAGAAGGTGAGTGAGCCTCTGAAGTTTGAGTGCCCTGTTCCTCTGAGATGATTTTGTAGACATTTGCTGCAGCTAGCTATTCCTCTAGAGGACCATGGAACCTTGAAGACTTTCCTATGAAGACTTGTCATAGGAAAGACTTCACAGAATCAATTGCTTAATATTTATTTTCTTGTGTTTTCTTAAGAATTGATAAAAATAAGCTCCAAATATTCCTTTAACTTATAAAAGTGCTAATGAAAACATTGTGTAATATTAATAATTTATTATTATTTTTTTTTTTTTTTTTCGGAACCGGGGATTGAACTCAGGCCCTTGCACTTTCCAGGGAAGCGCTTATTCTACTGAGCCATCTCCCCGGCCCCAATATTAGTAATTTGAATGTAAGCTTAAATTTAGTGTTAGGAAATCTTTCTCTTCTAATAATTCATGTTTACTGTAGTAGGTAATGGAACTATATAATTTATTTGTTTTGCTTTTGCTTCAGTTACTGGGAAACAAAAGTTGAACTTTGCCTTATTACTTGTAGCCTAGGTTTGGCAGAAAGTAATTTTCTTAGTGGAATTTGAAGTGCCCTTTCACTTGGCGCACATCATATATTTTAAGTATAACTTACACGCAGTATTCAGATCAATCAGTTTTAACAGATTATTTGTAGTTTAAGGATGGTAAAAATCATTCCTAGAACTTGCCTTCAGATTCCTGAAATGGCTGGGATGATGATAGCTCAGTGGTATAGCATGTGCTTAGATGTGTGCGGTCTAGATTCAGTTCCCACTCCCAACAGAGAGGAGTCCTAATGGCTTATGCAAAATGAGAGAATAAGCAAGCTGAGGGAGTACCTGGAACAGCTATCTCTCCCTTGTTTTCTCATGAAGACTCCAGGAATGTGGCCTCCACAGCCCACATGAGGTGAGATGTCCATTAGAGCAGAGGAGCATCGAACTGTGGGCTCTGCTGCTTTCCCCACTCCTCCCTGACTCAGAAACAGTGTATACTACTGTGTCATCTTGCTGCACAGTAGACCAGGGTAAGGCTTATGTCCAGGTGTCCTTGCAAATGTGACTGCTCCTTAGCATATGCTCTAAGACTTCATTCTGTGCTCTTCGGGACTTTTCTAGCCATGAACTATCACTACCTTTTCTCCATAGTGTATACTTATTTTTATCTTTGTCTCCAAGTAAAATGTAAATCCCTAAAGACAGACTGCTGTTTTTGTTCATGCTGTAACCCCACCTCCAAGAAATACTCAGTAAAGATTTGCTGAATCAATTTAGTACAGTGTCTTTAACAAGATTCTGCATAGTCTTTTTCCAAGTTGGCCTCGTGTAGACTGCAGTGGCGCTGATGTCAAGCCCTACCAAACCTTTTTTCTTTTTAGCTTCAGAGTTTTGTCTGGGGGTTGAACTGGCTACAGGAACACAGGCTACACACACCTCAGACTTGGTGTTAGTTGTCTTGCCATGTTAAGAAAGATAGGCATTCTGTCTTCAGTACCCAGAGGAAAAATATCTAGTGTCTTATTTTAATGTGTACCTAGTATGAGATGTCTTGAATGTTACAATTCTGAATCACACTGGAGCGGAAGAATGGCAATATTGAAATTCAGACATTCTGACTGGGGAGATTGCTCAGTGACATAAGCACCTGCCTGGCAAGTGTAAGGTTCTGAGTTTGATCCCTGGTACAAAAAGAAAAAGTAAAGATAGTGAAATTCAGACATTCACAAGTCAAAGTACCCCTTGAGATAACATGCTGAGAAAGATCCTGCTTGTTTAAGTCTACGCATTTTGTTTGGGCTTTGGATGGAGTCAAATAGTACAGTGACTCAGAATAGAAATTGAGAACTTTCTCATTTCTTCATTCCAACAAATTTTATTAGATATCTAGTCCATCATATACTGAGCTCAAATATATAATTCCAATTCTGTATTTTTAAGTGGGCATTGGCACTATGGTAAAATATTTTTTAGTAGATGACCCAGAAAATCCAATTTCCTGATGGTCAATAAGTATCATGTGAGCACCCAGCTGTAAGCTCTGCTCCAAAAGAACTTGCAAGTTCTAGCTACCTAAGCTGTAATTGTTGAAAAGAGAATAATGATATCTTTTCTGTAAGTCGCCCGAATCCAGTGGAAGAAAATGTGTTCACTGATAAAACCATTTTAGAGATTATCTCATTTTGTAGGGCCAGCCAAATAGCTCCATGGATTAAAGCGCCTGCGGGGCCAGGGGTTCGATCCCTAGGCCTGCAGTGCTGGCCCTGCCCCCGGGACATGCTGAGAGGGCAGTTGAGACTGGCTGTGGCGGCATGCACCTGTAATCCCAGCTCTTGGGAGTCTATAAACAAGCGGATCACTACGAGTCCAATCTAGTGGTGAGACCCTGAACACCTCTGCCCTAAAATACAAAAATAAATAAAAATAAAGATTATCTCATTTTGTTACATGGAAACTACCATTTATTATGTCAGATTTTGACAGGAATTTTGATATTGACTGTCATATTTGATATATCTATTCATTTTGGTGTCAGGCATAGAGCTTGGGTCTGGGAGAGTTGTGAATCATACAGATCTGATTCATCTTCCCCAGATATATGAAACAGTGTGATCATAAATGTGCCTGTTAGGACTCTTCCAAGCATAAGGGCATTCAACTCACTAAATTCCGGTTAGAAATAATAAACAGGAAACAGATTAATTGGCTTTTTAAGTAGCCAGAAGACAGAATCTGCAGGGTCAAAAAATTAGCATCTTCTAAAGTGCTTTGCTAAATTAAACAAGTCTGGTATAGATCAACTCTTTAAGTATTTTCAGAGTTTGGCAAGGGAGGGGAGTGCCAGATGGTTCATCACTAAGCCATACACATGCACAAGAGTGTACACACTTGTAATCCCCAACACTCGGGAGGCTTGGATAGGAGGAGTTCAAAGCTGGCCTGGGCTATGTTATGAGTTCAAGGCCAGCCTGAACTAGAAAACCAGCCTGTTGCAAAAAGCAAAGCAAAAAATATGTACAGATGAAAAATTTAACCTGTAGTGAAGAAGTCACAGGGAGAGTGCAAGCTGACCATAAAATGCAACAGTCAAGCTTCTTAGGGAGAAGAGGTAGCAGGCATGAAATAAGCTTCCTTGGCTCAGTGTTAATGACTTTGTCAATACAATTCACTTAAAAGGACAAACTGAAGTCCTGACCTTTCGACCTTTTATCTTAAAATCAATCCTTCACTAGAAAATAGTAGGTCCTCTTTTCTATCAGTGGTGTTACCCAAAAGCCTTGAGCTTTCTGGAACTACTGCTAAAAAATCCAAATCCCTGACAATGAATTTGAAACAGTTTTATTTTACTGACCCACCCAGCCATGCTGATAGGTACAGTTGATGTGGGCATCTGGTTATCAGAATAGGGGACAAGGCTGAGAGCTCAGCAGGAAGAGGCCAGAACTAGAAGAGACAGTTTTACCCATTTTTCATAAAAATAATCTTTAAAAAAAAAAAAACGGTTGTGTTCATTTGTTTTGTTTTTAGTCAGGGTCCCACTCTAACTCAGGCTGTCCATGATTTCACCATGTAGCCCACACTGTCCTTAAACTCTTGGTGATTCTTCCCCCTCGTGCTCCCAAGTGCTAGGATTACAGGGATCGAATGTCAAGACACAGGCTTCCTATCTGTATTTCTGCTGGTGTATTTCAAGGAAATTCCAAACATATTGTTTTATCCATAAATGTGGCAATCTCTCAATCTCTCTCTCTCTCTCTCTCTCT